ATGGGCTCAGGAGTCGGGGCAGGCAGGGGGCATGTGACCAAAACCACCTGATCAGGCAAGGAGGAAAGAGGTGTGGGCATTCCATGGAGGTGGGGGGCAAGGGGGAGCAAGGCAAGGGGAAAAGGGGGGAGCAGAGAAAACATATCCAACTATGCCAGCTCCCACCCCACCCAATGCCAATCCCCATGCCCCCTCGAAAGGCATAGCGTCCAACCATTGTGCCTGGTCCTTCCAGACTAGATGGCAACCACTTTAAAGGGAGATACATTGTCAGCTATAAATACAGCATTTTCAGGGTGAGGGTGTTAAAGTGTTAATTTTTAATTATTTTTTTATATATGTTGTAAGCCACCCAACACGGCTGAGGCAACCCAGTCAGATGGGAGCATAGCTGTCAACTTTTCCCTTTTTTTAAGGGAAATTCCCTCGTTCCAAATAGGATTCCTCGCAAGAAAAGGGAAAAGTTGACAGCTATGGATGGAAGGGGTGGAAATAAACAGATGAAAATAGGGACGGCCTATTCAACAACAACAACACTAAATATTATTAAGTGCTTTGAGCTGGGCAATGCTAGACTGGAAAAGCAACTAAAGCATGTCATAAAGAAATATTAAATATGCCAAAGAATCTCATGACGCATTCCATGCAGAAACCTTTTGCCACTGCCAGCTGAAAAGAGCCTTGACATTATTGACTCTTCCTACCTCAGTTGGTTTTCCACAGACAGTCTCAACAGGGGATACGTAGCTTGAGCCAGATTTTTGCAAACGTTGAAAGCTTTTGGCATGCCCAGAATTTTCACTGGCAACCAGTCAAATGTCCAATGGCTCCCTGGGGCACCTCCATCTAAACACTGTAGTAACAGCTTTCCATTCTTTCCACTCTTATTTGTGCGGTCATGTGCCTTGTATCACATTGAACTCTCACCTCCTATTTGTATTTGGCTAGGCTCCTAGTACAGGGACAACCACTTTCCCCATCCATCACTGATGGCTCTCTGAGGACATCAGCCTTTTCAGCATCCATGGAGACTTAATTGCAGGTCAATTTGGTATCTGACAGCCATTTTAATCTGTGCTGATCTCAGCTGGGGTATGAAGCTAGCTTGTATACAGCAAGAGAGGGACAGACCTTCATAACCAGAAAGCTTCGCTGTATATTGATCTGCATTCGATAGCCCCATGCCCTATTTTATTTGCAATAATAGGAGCCGGCCTGTGTTGGCGTTTTCGATGATACCTTTAAATCACATAGGCTGCATTTGATACCAGGTCACTCGAAACAACCCCCTCCCCCCTAGTTTGGGTGGGATTTTAAATCAGAAAAACCACCATGTTACGTCATAGCCAGTTACATATAAATGTATATATTCTTCCCATTATTGCCCTAGCAGACTGACTGCTGCAAGCTGATTCAAAAAATCGCTGAACACTAATGATGGGTTGTTGCATTTACTCAATGAAGCTATACTGCTCCAGAAGGAATAGATGTTGTTTTTTAGTTGTTTAGTCGTGTCCGACTCTTTGTGACCCCATGGACCAGAGCAGGCCAAGCACTCCTGTCTTCCACTGCCTCCCGCAGTTTGGTCAAACTCATGCTGGTAGCTTCAAGAACACTGTCCGACCATCTCGTCCTCTGTCGTCCCCTTCTCCTTGTGTCCTCAATCTTTCCCAACATCAGGGTCTTTTCCAGGGTGTCTTCTTTTCTCATGAGGTGGCCAAAGTATTGGAGTCTCAGCTTCAGGATCTGTCCTTCCAGTGAGCACTCAGGGCTGATTTCCTTCAGAATGGATAGGTTTGATCTTCTTGCAGTCCATGGGACTCAAGAGTCTCCTCCAGCACCTTAATTCAAAAGCATCAATTGTACATGCTATGGGCTTAATTGCTTACACTCATCTAGGATTTGAGCCATGGCAGAATTTAGCAACTTGCTTCTATATGTTTACAGCAAAAGCTGCTTTTGGGCAACATACTTTCACCCGCTTTCTGCTGGCCTCCACTCCAGGTTGCAGATTTGCCCTTTGACTAGGATGGTTTTCAATAAATAGCATCGTTGTGATGCAAAGATGACTTTGTTTGTACTCCCATCACCTGAAAAATTGAGAAATTGGAGGGTTATTGGGTGATTATGGGAGGTGTCATAATTCCAAGGTGGAACATCTATCCAGGGGTGTGGAACTTGTGGCTCTCCAGGTGTTGGAGTCCAGCTGTCACCAGCCCCATCAAGGCTGATAGCCAGGGATAACCAGAGATGTAGTCCAGCAATATCTGGATGCCCACAGCTTCCTGATCCTTGCAGTCTCAGGGAAAGGATGGCCAAATCTGTCAATTTTAGATTCTGTCAGTTTTTCATTTTTACAATCTTAAGTACAGTTTGTCACATTTCTGCAACAGTTTCCACAAATGCCGGCACTTTAGAGTGCATTCCTCCTAATTTACACATTTCGGTATACAACTTTGCCTAATACTCATTTTTGCAATATATTTTCCCTTCATCTAATTTTTATATGTCATTTTCACTAAAAAAGAATGTTTTATGCACACTTTCTCTTAATTTTTCTCCTGTGTTTATGAGCGCCCTTTTTTTTTTTTTTAGTTGAAAGACTGCATCACAAAACTCAGAGAAGTGTGTTTTTGAAGGATAACTATGTTTCAGTTTGCATATTGTTTTGGGAATGCAAACTGAATTTCTTCCTCTAACCTTTATCTCAGCAGGTGTTATTTCAGATTTAGGTGATGGATTAGAGGTGTATTATGTGTGAATTTCAGAATGGGTAGGACAGGTTTTGTAGCAAAGTTTGAAATGGTTCTCTCTTGGAAATAGTCAAGATTAGAAAGAGTGTATGTTCTATAGGTATATTTGAAGAACATTTCTCAATGTTTTCTGGATTCTTTATATGGATTTGTGTGTTTGCTGGGTATAAGAGATCCTTCATTTTTGTGAAGAGATTAGTCCAGATCAGCTGTCCCTAGCCTGGACCTCTCTAGATGTTTTGAACTACACTTCCCATCAGCCTCAGCTATCATGACCAATGGCCAGGGGTAATGGCAGTCTATTTGTATCAAGTATTTATATACAGCAGAAAAGATCCCAGAGGGTTTTTTTTACAGAGCTGTTGAACAGTTCAGTTTCTATTGTATAGATATTACAACGCATGATGCACATTATGTAACAGTTCCATGTCCTGAAGCCAAACTGCAAACCAGGCTCTGCCGCTCAACCACTTAAGTGTTGTACATTCTTCAGGAACATTCATTTTGGAACCACCCTATGCTAAGTACAAGCATCTTCCATGTATTCTCCAAACACAGACCTTAAAGAATCTCAGAATCATAGAATTGTAGAGTTGGAAGGGACCCCAAGAGTCATCTAGTCCAACCCCCTGCAATGCAGGGATCCCAGCTAAAGCATCTATGACAGATGGCCATCCAACCTCTGTTTTGCTTCATCTTCCACAGCATCAACTAGTCCGGCAACTTATGGAGAGCCACAGGTTCCCCATCACTGATCTAGTCAAGTCCCCTCTATCCCAGCATCCTGTGTTCCAGAGGGGCCAATCAGATGTTTCCCTGAAAACCGCAAACAAGTCTCCCAATGCAGGCTCCCTTTTGTATAGCTGTCATGGGTCGTAGTCATTGATAGATTTATCAACGGCACTAAAGAATCATAAGCCAGCTTTTATGCAGAAGATAAGCACACTGAGAGTATATTTCCAATATTCCAGCTACTGACGGGAAAGTAAGGAGCACTGGAGAAACGCAGAACACACGAAAAGGGGAATCACACAGAACTGTGAACCAAAACTGAGAAAGACAGTGGAGAAAGGATGTGGGAGGAGGCAAGTTGAGATTTTTGTTTCCTCTGCCCCCCCCCCCAGGCCCGATACAGAATATAGAATGTATCTATTTTCCTCTCTCTCTCTCTCTTTTTCTTAAAAAAAAGGGGGGGGAAGAGTCTCGCAATCTGGGCAATTTCCCACTCGGCTTGATGACAAAATGCATTTTCCTCAGAATAGCTGTAAATCACACGGAACTCCTACTGATAGCACTTTGCAGTAACAAGGAAAAAGCTTTTTTTCCTAAGCTGCGCCTCTCCCCGAGATAATGGCTTCCACCGTCTCCTAGTCTGTGCCAGGTATGTTGTGAATAATGCATTCCTCCTATAACAGGATGCACTTCTGCTGGTCGAAACAGAGTCCTACTGTAATGAGTATGGGTTGCTCGTGCGTAAGTTGCCGCCTCTCCTGGCTATGTTGCCTTGTTTAAACCTTTCTGTCTGGACAGCCCTTCACTTCGTGGCTGCCTCAGTCGCTAGCAGAATCCGTCAGTGGGCGTTTCTTAAACCTTTTCCAACATAAAAGTTGTTTGACGCCAAGTCTCCTCCTACTCTCCCTGCGCGGAAGCCTTCTGCGCAGGGAGGGCGTGGGCAGCGGAGGACCCGTGCTCTCCCCGCTGGTGTCCGGTGAAGAGTCCTGGATCCCTCTCGCCGATTCCCCCATCTGCCCCCCTTTATCTCTGGTGTTGCGCTGATTTGCTTCCCCATCTGCTGAGCTGCCTCTCTCCCTGCTGGGCCCTTCTCCAGCATTATTTGAGAGCCTCCCCTCCGCCTCTAGCTCCGATGTCAGTTCCCTGACACCTACACAGCGTGGGTACCAGTGGTTAGCATCACTGGAAACCTGCTGAAGCCCACACTTCAGTGGGAAAAACTACTGGTGACCTCCAGACCTTCCTTCTTGATGTATCTACCTATGGACATGGTAAATAAGATGCAGCTTTTACTTGCCACCTTGCCCTGTACCTCTGGATGGTAGTGCATATTGGACCTGAAGGGAGAGGTCTAGTGAACAGAGAGATTTGACATTGACAAAGAGGCAGATTCACTTGGGAGGGGGGACCTCCTGAGGGCATTTTACCCGAGGAACGCCTCCCCCCCCCAAAAAAAACAACACTGGAGTTGACAGCTATATGCCTAAAGTGTCTGGGCTTCCTCTTATAACAGGTGGAGGGAACCTGTTCTCTAGCTCAGTGGTAGAACATCTGCTCTGTACGCAGAAGTCCCCAGGTTCAATCACTGGCCTCTTCATGTAGGTCTGGGAATATCCCCTACCTATAGTTAAAGCTATGGTTTTCCCAGTAGTGATGTACAGAAGTGAGAGCTGGACCATAAAGAAGGCCAATCGACGAAGAATGGAGGCTTTTGAATTATGGTGCTGGAGGAGACTCTTGAGAGTCCCATGGACTGCAAGAAGATCAAACCGATCCATTCTTAAGGAAATCAGCCCTGAGTGCTCACTGGAAGGACAGATCCAGAAGCTGAGACTCCAATAGTTTGGCCACCTCATGAGAAAAGAAGACTCCCTGGAAAAGACCCTGTTGTTGGGAAAGATGGAGGGCACAAGGAGAAGGGGACGACAGAGGATGAGATGGTTGGACAGTGTTCTCGAAGCTACCAGCATGAGTTTGACTAAACTGCGGGAGGCAGTGGAAGACAGGAGTGCCTGGCATGCTCTGGTCCATGGGGTCACGAAGAGTCGGACATGACTAAACGACTAAACAACAACAAAAACCCTATGGAGCCACTGCTAGTCCGTGTAAACCAGGGTTTCCAAACATGGGTCTCCTGCTGTTTTTGGACTACAATTTCCATCATTCCGGACAACTGGTCCTGCTAGCTAGGGTTGATGGGAGTTGTAGTTCAACAACAGCTGGAGACCCAAGCTTGGGAAACTCTGGTGTAGAGAATACTGAGCTAGATAGACCAATGGACTGACCTGTTATAAGGCAACTTCATATGTTTCTGTGCCGCTATGTTGACGGACCACAATGCCTGCCATCCTTGGCTGGGGCTGATGGGAGCAGCAGTACAACATCTGGAAGGACCAGAGGCCCCCCCATCCCTTCCTCACAATATGCTTTTGGAAAAACGCTGTTGTTTGACATGGGCCACATACCCTACCCTGAGATTAAGTGCCACAGGTTGTATAATAACTATTCTTAAAGATAAATTAGAATTAAACATTTCTACAATATTGTTCTCCAGAGGAGGATGGATGCAAACGTAGGTGGAATGTCCTGCATGAACTCCCCATTTGGGGAGGGATTTTTTGACAGCTGACCTTTTTCTCCATGGCTCTGTTTTTGTTTTGGTTGTGGGCTATGCGCACTGCTAAATTCAGCCTAAGCAATGTGATGGAAATATATATATATATTCATTCAGCGGAAACATGTGGCAGAGGGCTTGGCTGCCTTGGTTTGACCTCTGTCATGTTAGTTTCCTTCCATGTGCCATTAAAATGGGCCTGGTTTAGGAAACAGAATGATACTTATAATTAAGAACTATCTAAGCAGACACAAATATTTTCAGGAAAGGGGAGGAGATTTGTGAATGTTTTTACCTTTCCCCCTTTAAAAAAAGTGACCGCAAGAAATTGCTATACATGCTGGTAAATTCTGCTTGCATTCTTTGGGAATAAGTACACTTCCTTTAGGAGGCTACTGGAAAACTTCCTAAGGCTGATTCAAGTGTCTGAAGGATTAGCAGAACTCTTACATCACAGCATGTGCCTGAACATGTGAGCACTCTATCCCAGGAATGTGGCTTCACCCAAAGTCTTGGTTTCACCCAAAGAACCTTGGGCGTTTGCTAAGGGTGTTAGCGCTGTTAGGGGATCCCTATGCCCCTTACAGAGCTCCAATTCCCAGAGTTCCCTGAAGGTTCTCTGGGAATTGAAATGACTACAGTTTTAAGAGCTCTCCCGCACTGAAGCTGAAAGTTCTCAAGCAAGCATTTTTGGTGTGACCCCATGAGATAAAGAAGTGAATAAAAACCCCACATCTCCTTTAAGTAAGATCCTCATCACCATCATTTCATTATTTATACCCCACCCATGTGGGCGGACATATAAAAACATAATATGACATCAGACATTAAAAACTTCACAATACAGTGGTACCTCGGGTTACAGACGCTTCAGGTTACAGACTCCGCTAACCCAGAAATAGTACCTCAGGCTAAGAATTTTGCTTCAGGATGAGAACAGAAATTGTGTGGTGGCAGCGCGGCAGCAGCGGGAGGCCCCATTAGCTAAAGTGGTACCTCAGGTTAAGAACAGTTTCAGGTTAAGAACAGACCTCCGGAACGAATTAAGTTCTTAACCCGAGGTACCACTGTACAGGGATGCCCTCAGATGTCTTCTAAAAGTCAGATAGTTGCTTATTTCCTTGTGTTCCACAGGATGAGTGTCACTACTGAGAATGTCCTCTGCCTGGTTCCTTGTAACTTCACCTCTCACAGTGAGGGAACTGCAAGAAGGCCCTCAGAGCTGGATCTCAGTGTCCAGGCTGAATGATGGGGAGTGGAGACGCTTCTTCAGGTATCCTGGGCCGAGGCCATTTATGTCATAGTCCTCTACTGCCAGCCACAGCAGAATTAAGTTGAGGAAGAAGCCAGACCACCAGCTGAGTCTTGGGGGGGGGGTACTTGCCTGGAGGCAGAGTCTGTATACAATGTTTAGTCCAGTCCTAAGGTCAAGAGTATCTCAGTTCACATAGTCAGATGATCCGGGGGTCGAGAAAGCTGAGGGTCCAAGGTCACAAGAATCAAGAAGCAGCAAGGTCTACCCAGGAACAATGAATGTTGTTTCCAGCAACTGACTGAGGTGGGAAACCCTGCTGAAGAAAGCTGGAGCCAGCTGCTTCACATCAGGAGCAAGAAGGCTGATGAGCAGCAGGTGGAGTCACTTTGCCTTCTGCTTCTTCAGGCTGTGCTCAGCAGGTGAAGCTGACTCCTGGCCCATGACAATTTAGGGCTTTAAAGGTCAGCACTAACACTTTGAATTGTGCTCGGAAACGTACTGGGAGCCAGTGTAGGTCCTTTAGGAGTGGTGCTATATGGTCCCGGTGGACGCTCCTGGGCACCAGACTAGCTGCCATATTTTGGATTAGTTGTAGTTTCCGAGTCACCTTCAAAGGTAGCCTCACATAGAGCGCATTGCAGTAGTCCAAGCGGGAGATAACCAGAGCATGTACACCTTTGTGTAATCGCCCTATTTCAACTTCTTCTGGGATCAGCCTCTGAGTAGGTGATCCATTCACCTGCCTCACCTCCTCCTCCATTGTTTTTGAACTCCCCATTTGTGAAACAAATGGTTTGAGTTTCCAACGCTTACTCAGTCGTTTAAATCTCACCTAACATTATACTTTCAATTTGCCACCATTATGGTTTCATTTGACATTCAATATATGGTAATAGCAATGAATTGGCTAGATATGGAGTGTCATATACTTGGTAAGGACAGCATTTCATTGTAATGTAAAGGAGTTTTAGTGCACAGAGGCTTTTCAGAAGCCATTCTTTATATGCCTTTCCCCTTCCAACAAAACAGTAAACGCACTAGTAGAAAAAGAAACCTGGAAGCAAATGTTTGGTAGGAAAACTTTAAGGAAATCTCTACCTCCCTTGCATGGCCCTAAATCTTTTCTGGGGTTTCTTCCAGCCCTCTGGAGCAGATTTGGGGTTTGGGGGGGGGAGAAGAGGAAGGGAAGTTTCTCTGATCAAGTGGAAGTCATTCTGGTGGTGAAATTATTTAGTTGAATTCCATCCAGAATAATTAAACCATCAGAAAGTCGGACTTGCCCCCAAAATTTCAACTGCTGACCATTTAGTAATACTACTGGCATGGCTCTTTCCCATGCATTGTCTTACTGGATGATGCAGAATATTATTATTATTATTATTATTATTATTATTATTTATACATACATACATACATACATACCCTCCCATCTGGCTGAGTTTCCCCAGCCACTCTGGGCGGCTCCCAATCAAGTGTTAAAAACAATACAGCATTAAATATTAAAAACTTCCCTAAACAGGGCTGCCTTCAGATGTCTTTTAAAAATAAGACAGCTGTTTATTTCCTTTGACATCTGATGGGAGGGCGTTCCACAGGGCAGGCACCACGACCGAGAAGGCCCTCTGTCCGGTTCCCTGTAACCTCACTTCTCGCAATGAGGGAACCGCCAGAAGGCCCTTGGCGCTGGATCTCTGTGTCCAGCCTGAACAATGGGGGTGGAGACGCTCCTTCAGGTATACAGAACTGAGGCCATTTAGGGCTTTAAAGGTCAGCACCAACACTATATAAGAGGCCCCCGGGCCGCCCTTCCTCCTTTCTTACAACAGGTTCATAAAGCGGGACAGTATTATGATGTTCAAAGTGCAGCCGTCTGTGTGGGTATCTTCCTTAGAAAACAAAGGAGCCAAGGCAATGAGTTTGAGCAAGAAAACTGCCGAGACGAGTCAACAGCCCTCTCCTCTCTTCCTCAGCTGAGGGAGCCACCCATAGCTGCTTTACCTGATCAAAGAAGATGAGGTGGGGGTGGGGAGAACCCCCAAACTAGAGTGCGTGTGCATCTCTGTGCTCCGACACACACTCCCAGCATGGGAAAGGTTTCGACGCTCCCCTGTCTAACAAGCGCTTCCTCTGCATTCCATCCAAATAAGCAATTGCCCTTTGTTGTATAAAAGCAGAATAAATATTGACTCGCCAAATACCATGGGAGAAAATGGATAAAGAAAGAGACCCTCTCCCCCTGACAAACACCCAGCAGACCCAAGGATAATGGAAATGTATAATTGCCACCTGACGCAGGCAAGTCAGATATACTTTGCCGTTTGCACTAAGCATTTATTTAAAAGTCAAGGTTGCTGGAGGTTTCCGAGGGATCCATTTAGGCATAATGTTTGTTTGCTTGCACTCTGCTTTTCTGGCTTAGCGCACGGAGGCTGTCCCCAAGCAAGGTGCCCTTTGGCGGAAAACAACAGGCCGCGGGGAATCTATTATAAAAAAAAACAGTTTGATGGAATAAACATGCCACTATGTATTCTGCAAGAAAGGATGCTTACTTCGCAGCAACCCTGTTTACAAAACTGGGAATACTCCAGCGTTTGCATTTTCAGGAGGGCTGCTAGGCTTTTACAAAAGCAGAGGGGATGCTCAAGGAATTTGGTCTTTCCAAATACCGCTACAAACTGCCCTGATGCACACCTCTCAGGCTAATGTGCACATCAGGAGGACACAGCTG